CGCCTACCTCGGGCGACGGCGTCTGGGAGCCTCCCGCCTCCCCCCAGGGCGCGCGGAGCCGGGATCGGAGCCGTAGGAAGAGGCGTCCGAGGCAACGACACAGAGGGTGGGACAGGAAAAGGGGACGCATCCGCTCGCCGGAGGAGCTGGCGAAGGGAGCGCAGCACGCGCGCGCCGGGCACCGTCAGGAGCGTGAGCGTACCTTCCCGTCGCCTGGCCCAGGGGTCCGGCAGGAGCGAGCAGATCGCCTCACATCCGGGTACCAGTAGACACTCAGCTGCCTCTGCCGCGGCCGCCGCCTCCCCCGCGGCGCTAACACCAAACTTCCGGCGACGGCGGCGACGCCTCGCCCGTCAAATGGGAGTTACCTGTGACCGTCTTGGGTGCGCTTGCGCAGCGCCCCGCTTCAGCACTAACCGGCTCAGCTGACGTGCCCAGCAGACGAAGATGGCCGCCACGCTTGCTGCGTGTCACGCAATTTTTCACCCCGGCCGGGTCGGCTGGGCGTCGGGGAAAGGCGAACCAGCGTCCAGCCTCAGCGCAGGCGCGGTGGGAGGCCTCGCGTGCGCGCCTCCGCGGGTGGGCGCCTAGCGGGGAGGCGGCGGCGTCCCCTGGCGGCGGCCGCTTGTGCTTTGGGGTCATCTCTTGGAATGGAACCATCCAGACCCCCACCCATAGTGGTTTGTCCGGGAAATCGTCGCAACCGTTTGTCCCTTAGGTTTAAAATACTTTTATCTGCGACGTCTAGTTCAAGTGCCTTTGATCTGCGATGTGGGCTAATGTACAGAACAGAGGGTCGGTGAACTGAACCATCTCTCTCTCCCACCTGCACTGCACCAGCACCTCCAAAAAATCCAGGCTTTCCCTCTCTCCTTGCGCACGATCCTTTTTGTGAATCAGCACACAAGTGCCTATTAGAAATTATACAACGTGGGAGCCAGCAGGTGGCGTGGTGGTTATGGCGCTGGACGCTGCCACATGGCTTTCCACGGTTCAACTCTGGGACCGCGTGGCTTGTTTTCTCACTTTCCTTCTGTGTGTGTGTCTGTCTATCTGTCTCTCTCTGTGTGTCTCTCTCTGGTTAAATTTAAGTTAAATGAACGAATAGTTGGACTCTCATATGGCCAACCGCGGTTCCAGTCCAGAGGCTTGCTTCCTCACTGCCCCCACCCTCACCCCGTCAAAGTAAAATAAAATAAAGTTAAATAAAATAATTCTTTTTAAAAAATGAATGAATAAATAAAATTAAATAAATAATATTCATGCATTCTTTTTTTTTTTTTTAATTTGACCAGAGAGAGACACAAAGAGAGCAAGAGAGGGAAAGTGAGAAAGCAAGCCACCAGATCCAGAACTCAATCCCTGGTTGGCCATGTGGGAATGTCCAGAGACTTAACCACCATGCCACCTGCTGGTCCCTAAATAAGTAATTCCTTTTTAAAAAAAGAAAGGAGGGAACCAGCAGTTAGTGTAATGGCTATGTCGCTGGACTCCCACGTAGTCGACTGCGGTTCGCTTTCTGGACACCGTGGCTTAAAACTCATGCCGGGCTCGTGTGCGTTCGTGCCCAAGATCCCGAGAGGTGAATGGAGAAGGGATTGCGGCGTGACCATCCCCCCTGGGGGGGTGATTTCTCGCTTTCTGTCTCTATGTCTCTGTCTGGCGAGCGCATGCGCCCTATAGCGAAAAATCTCTCCAAAAAAAAGAAAGAAATTGTAGAATGTCCACTGGATTTAGTCAGAATGGGTGTTGGGACAAAGCTTTGGCTCTTCGAAGCCTCTCAAGATACAATCCTGGGCTGTCACTGGCATGGGTGGTGCCCCCACTGCTATCTATGCTTTTTGTGCTACTCCTTCCTTATGAAAAAAGCTATGAGGATGTGTAATTCTGTACATGTCTCTCAGAACAAGAAGAGGTGATCATAAACGGGTTCTCTCCTTCCCACCCTCGTTTTTTGAAACCAAGATGTGCTAGACATTGTCAAGCCTGATGTCAGCTGTCTGTCAGTTTAGCCAGGGACATGAGTTTATGGATTAAAAAAAAAAAAAAAATTGGGTGGGCCAGTGGCATATTGGTTAGGGACGCCAAACTCCTACATGGCCAACGCAGTTCAAGTCCCGGACCTAGTGATTTGCTTTCTTGCTTTACCTCTCTCTCTCTCTCTCTCTCTCTCTCGCTGTCTCGCTCTTGCTCTCACTCTGTCCCTCTCTGGTCAAAATTATAAAAATAAATAAAGTTAAACAAAATAATTATTTTTTTTTTAAAATAAGGGTATTGGTGGATGAGGCATCCCCACATCACAACTCCTTGCATTACTTGGCAAAGACCTGCCCACTCCTCCCCATCCCCAGCCCCCCATATCTACTTTAAAGCTTCGTGTCAAGTGGCTGAAATTGGGGGGAAAACTCCAGACTAAGCAGTTGGATCGGTGAAGGCTGGTGATGTACCAGGGACTCTGATCTATGTTTGCCTTCATGTTTAGATTTCCAGACAAACTGGTGGGGTTTATTTCTGTTGGTTAAACCACTTAATCTTTTGTAACTCAAATTCTGATATACATACAAACCATATTTACAAGCTTCCATTCTCACAAAATAGACCACTGCATCTGAGTGACTTATTCCACTCTTTTTTTCCCCTCAAATTGCCAGAGGATACACATGCTTAGCAGAGAGAGAAAGCATCCCCTGATGGGGCATGGTGACACTGCAATACTTCTTCCCTCATTTCTCCATTCCATCGGGACTCTGGGGTCGCACACTCATGCCCAATGTGCTCCCCGAGACTCAGAGCCAGGCCTAGGATTCCAATGGCAATCAGCCGTGTAAGATTCAGCTCCCTTAACCACTGTACTACAGGGCCAACCCTCCACTCTGTTTGTTGTATTAGGCTCTGTTAAGGGCATGTAATTATTTCAAACATTAGACAACATATAACTATGTGTATTTATTTTAGTTATACAAGTAATTTGATGTGTAATTCCAGGTTTTCTAAAACCATATATAGTCAATTTCTCAAATATGCTGCATATTTAAATATAAAAATGTCCTGGGAACCAACAGTTAGCATAATGGCTATGTCGCTGGACTCCCACGTAGTCGACCGCAGTTCGCGTCCCAGACCTGGTGGCTTGAAACTCACGCTGGGCGCGTGTGCGTGCGTGCCCAAGATCCCGAGAGGAGAATTGAGGAGAAGGGATTGCAGCATGACCATCCCCCTGGGAGGTGATTTCTCGCTTTCTGTCTCTATGTCTCCCTCTGTCTGTCTGGCAAGCGCACGCACCCTGTAGAGAAAACCTCTCAAAAAAAATTTTTTTTAATTAAAAAAAAATAAAAATGTCCTGACTTTTTTTAATAATTATTTTATTTTATTTTTTCATTCCTTTTTATTTTTTAATTTGACCAGAGAGAGACAGATGTTGAGAGTGAGAGAGAGAGGAAGCGAGAAAGCAAGCCACCAGATTCAGGACTCGAACCCTGGTCGGCCATGTGGGAGTGTCCAGCGCCTTAACCACCATGCCACCCACTGGTCCCAGAAATGTCCTGACTTTTAAAAACATCGATTTATTTCATTCCATTTGTCATTATTATTTGTATATTTTTATTTTTTCTTTTTTTGGAGAGGTTTTTTTGCTACAGGGTGTGTGTGCTCGCCAGATAGACAGAGAGAAACAGAGAGACAGAAAGCAGGAAATCACCCCCCAGGGGGGATGGCCACGCCGCAATCCCTTCTCCTCCATTCTCCTCTCCGGATCTTGGGCACACACGCGCACGGCATGAGTTTAAGCCACCGGGTCCGGGATTCGAACTGCGGTCAACTACATGGGAGTCCAGCAACATAGCCACTACGCTACCTGCTGGTTCCCACTGTTCCGCATTATTAACATAAACCTTTCCTGTAACCCCACCCCTCGGAC